ACTAGTGAGCAAAGAACTATCTCTAAAAAGAAAAAAAAAATCAGAATGAATAAGAGGACCTTTGTGACTTTAAATGCTTTTTACTATTATGCCAGTCCTCTTTTCACAGTACAGAATTAATATGTATTAATTAATATTTATGTGCTTGATTATTACTATGAATTAATATTCAAGCACATACAGGGCCAGGTTACTTGCAGGGGTGTCTGTGCTTGTCCCAGCAAATCCAACTGGGTGGATGTGTTCCAAATTTTATCTACTAAACAATGATATCTTACAAGACAAAAAAGTTGCACCTTCTTGGTTGCAATTCCTACCCAATGAAAAATCTCCACCTTAGATCTGGAAGGTCCCAACCCTTTTGGCTTTCTCGAAATCTATGATGTTCTGAATTCTCCCTCAGGTGCTTGACTGAGATGTTAAATAAATTCAAAGTAGGTGTGATTGGTGTTGTAAGTTTGTTATACAATGCCTTTGTTATTATACTGCAGTCATTTTAATTGTGCATTCTGGTTGGTTTATAGATAATACAATGCAATGCAATGCAATGCAATAGAGTACAATACTGTACAATACTACAACTTTATTAATATAACTTTATTAATAATATAACTTTATTATATTTTTCTGAGAGAGATGGGTAGTTAAGAAGTATGATAGATAGATGATAGATAGATAGATGATAGATAGATAGATAGATAGATAGATAGATAGATAGATAGATAGATAGACAGACAAATAAATAAATTGTATTGATTGTTGCTTGCCAGAGTTCATATTTTAGATGGGCAGCCATATATATATATACATACATCAACATCTACATCACCTACATCTATATCTACATATTATAAATAGGGCAGCATATTTAAACTGCATTGCTGTGATAAACATTTTTTTTTTGGATAAGATGGAACAAGCATCTTCAATCCTTCTCTGCTTGATTTTTGGATTAATAAAATCCATAATAATTTGAAAAGTACGGTAATCCAAATTACATTATTAATGGGCGTCTTCTTGAAATTTCTGAGGGTTTTTTTTCTCTTTTTCTTTGAAGTATAGCTAAAGCAACTCTACAACCTCTACAATCTGATAATCATGTTGGATCCTCTAAATCTTTGTAAATATCAGTATTCTGGTTTTATAAGGTTTGATAATTGATAATCAGACAAATTTGATGCATTTTTAAAGAGAGTTGTAGACTTTGTTTTTAAAAAAGAGAACCACGGGTAGGGCAGGGAGAAGGAGTCTTAATTCAAACTCTACTTATTAAATCAATGTTGATTATACCCCAATATTCACACTTATCTAAATCTATGATACAGTTGAGCTAAGCCTATGTAACTGGAATTATTAGTAGAAAAATAGAACATTGAGAGAACATTGCTTCCAAAAATATGTTTTAGAAAAAAGAATACCAGAACATGAATGGAAATTGGAAAAATGTATACAAAATATTATTAATTTTATGTATTGTTAAAAATATAAATTCAAAATGGACACATTCATGTCTCCCTGGGTATAAATCAGAACTGTAAGAAGGCAAACCAGTACACTCAATTAAAAGTAATCTTCAAGATTTGGAAAAGATTGTATATCTTAGATGCTGCCTTGTCTGAAACCCAAATGATATTTCTGCTGTCCATTGGCATTCGTGCATAGAATTTGCACAATCTTATTGAAAAATTGCAAAGTATTATGTTAGACAGCTCACAGTTGGTTGCCATAGATAATAGGAAACTATTTTTTATACATAACCATAGGAAGAACGTTTTCTTCTTTTATCAATTCTATCTCTTTGTAGAATAAAACTAAATGCACATCTTGTTTATAAATGAAGAATAGATTTCATCAGGCACATTCCACTAAATGAGGAAAAGATATTAAAGGCATGCAATAAATTGCTGAAGAAGAAGAAATGATTAGAACAAACCTAGATAGCTGATAGAAGAACCAAACCATCAGACAGTAAAGTCTATTTTATGAATAGTATAAAAGAAAAGGGGGAAACTTTATTACTACAAATGAAAGGCAGTTTCTAAGAAAAGGAAGGCCATTTTTTCCTATAGAGGAGATCCTTCGTAGTCTTTTGCAGCCAAAAAGAAACTCACTTTAAAAAAAAAAAAGAATTACGTGCAGGATGATGTATCCCCATGTTCTGCTATGTCAGCTGAATTCATCTCAGTCCAATTATGAATTCACACCAAAAATAATAAGCAGGAAAACACCTGAGACTGTATATTCAGAATATAAATGAGAGATTTCATCTTTCAATAAACTGCTAATTCAAGGAGAGGGTTAGGTTCAATCTCACTGTACTGAAGTGCTTGCTTTGCAGATTTAGATAGTATCTCACACAAGTGTAGAGTATGCTCAATTTACATCATGACCCAATTGCATTCAAAACTGGTACCATCTTGAGTCAGCTTTTAATTGTAAAACATTGCAAGCATCCAGCACTGAGGAAAGATGAATCTTAAAACTTTGCTAACTTTGGATGACTGCTCAAAGTCATTATTGATCTTTAGCTTGTTTAGCTTTTTTCTAAAAAATGTAGGAATGTTTTATTGTAAATTGTTTTAATTCATCATATATCCACTTTGGAATACAGTTGTTCAGGCGTGGGCTTCTGTGGGTTCGCAGGGTTTCAGGAGAACCTCTAGCTAAGATTCTGTGCAGTTTGGAGAACCCCCAAATGCCACTCCTGGCTGGCCCCGCCTTGCCTGTCCCTCTCAGGAATCCCCACATGGACCGTTTTGGATGCAGGTAAGTGCAGGGTGCGCATGGAGGCTCAGGGAGGGTAAAAAGGGGCCTGTTTCCAGCCTCCGGAGGGCCTCTGGAGCCTGGGGAGGCCATTTTCACTCTCCCAGAGGCTCAAGGAAAGCCTCCGGAGCCCAGGGAGAGTGAAAACACCCCACCACCACCATAGTGCAGGAAGCTTCAAAAATTTGCCCAGCAACTGGGCAGAGAACCCCTTGCTAAAATTTTTGAAGCCCATCCTTGTAGTAGTTGCATTGAGTTGAATTGCAGCTACAGGTAGAGTGGGGGGAATCCTTAGATTGTTTTTTTAAAAAAAGGATGCAATGGAATGTCAGAGTGGAAGTTCCCCTTCCAAAACAATCTGACCTTGTCAATGGGCCATAGAGGGGAGATAACAATTGTTCAAAAAATAACCCAAAATAAAGGATCCAAACAGTTATTCCTAAACAGGTTAACACATCAGACAGAACTGGTTTCTTTGGGGCTAATTTTCCTTCAACCAAATAATTACCCTCCAAACAAATTGTTTGAAAGTTAACTATCTCTTCCAACATCTACGATTGAGATTAATTCCTAGAAAATCCAACAAAAAGACAAACCCTTCTGCTTTTCCACTTTTGTGGCCTACTCAGTTTTCATCTGTTTCAGCCACTGCAGGTTATGTATATGGGGTGGGGGTGGGGGGGTGGGAGGCATGACAGAACAGACAGAAATAGGTAATGCTTTCTCATTCCACCTGCAACAATACTATGCCAATGAAAAATTATATATTATTTTTTATTTGTTCCAAAGGGAGAGATGGGGGAAGTAAAATAGTAACTTTTTTGTCTTCAATACAAGGTCTGGTAGGCACACTAAAAATAGAAATGATTATTAGAATGACTAGCTGGTACATTTCATGCTAGGTGCTACCAGTATATGAAGCAGAGTTAGTTGAGTGGGAATAGGAATCTCAGGAGTGCTGCAGAACACAAACTTTCTGTTCTTGCCCTAAAAATACTAAATCCATAATAATGTCCTTTTGAAGTGAAGATCTCGTTCATACCAGTGGTGGGTTGCTACCCAGTGGTGGGTTTCAAAATTTTTAATATCGGTTCTGTGGGTGTGGCTTGGTGGGTGTGGCAGGGGAAGGATATTGTAAAATCTTCATTCCCACCCCACTCCAGGGGAAGGTTACTGCAAAATCCCCATTTCCTCCTAATCAGCTGGGACTCAGGAGGCAGAGAATAGATGGGGACGGGGCCAGTTAGAATTTTTACTACCGGTTCTCCGAACTACTCAAAATTTCCGCTACCGGTACTCCAGAACTGGTCAGAACCTGCTGAAACCCACCACTGATCATCATCCAGAATATAGTGGGGCAGGTAGTTCTCATCTCACACCACTACTTTGTGAATTGCACTGGTTTCTAATAGGCTTCTGGCTCCAGTTCAAAGTACTAGCCATCACCTATAAAGTACTTCATGATAGATGAGTATTGGGAAATCTCAATCCTTTTACACAAGAAAGAGGAAGAGGAGTATGAGTGTGGTGGACAAGGCAGGAAGTTGAAGAAGAATATCATGTTCTCTAAAGGAAAGGTTGTCCAGTTTCCTGTGGGATAGATCTGACTTCAATAAAAACTACTGAATTTGTCATTATGAGCTTTTCTTTGTAATCATATATGCCTGTATATTATATATGTAGGGGCAACATAATGGCTGAGAACTACTCAAAATTTCCGCTACTGGTTCTCCAGAACTGGTCAGAACCTGCTGAAACCCACCTTTGGTTGCTACCAGTTCGCCCCAGATCGGGCAAACCAGTAGCGGCGGTGGCGGAAGGCTCCACCCACCTGCCCGGATGCTTTTGCGCATGTGCAGAAGTGTTGTGTGTGTGTGCGAGAGCACGAGAGCACATGAGCAAACTGGTAGCAAACTAAATTGAAACCCAGTACTGATTCATACCATTCATCAATGTGAATTTGGCCCAAAGTGTGCACTCAGTGATCATGCTGCTACCTTTATAATGTGCATAAACATTTGTATATTCTTCATAGGTTACATTTTGGTTTTTTCAGCCTGGGGAGAGGAAACCAAATAAACCACAGGCCAGATCACAACACTCTAAGCTCCTGGGGCAGCAGCTTCATTACAACAGGAAGGCAAACTTCCCCTTGAGCATTAGCTAGAAGGGAGTCTGTGAGGAACTGAACGCACCAAGTGATAACATGAACAGCATCTATTCGGCTTGTGCATCCTCCTTCTGTTAGACAAGTTGGGGAGGCTCTCCTTTGGCAGACCAGCTCTTGCTTTGCCCCTGTGGCAAAGGATCTCATCTACTAAGAAGAATAACCATGGCTGGCAGTTCAGGTGGGTGATGCAGTTGATGTAGCTATCACCAGGAGGAGATCAGTGTTTACCAAGACATAATTCTGAATTAGTCCAATGGGAGTGAATTGTAAATGAATGTTTAGAGATTTGAATCTCTGTGGTCTTTTGATAGATAGGTCACACATTAGAGGTAAAGAATGGTCTGTTGCAGGGGTCTCCAACCTTGGCAACTTTAAGACTTGTGGACTTCAACTCCCAGAGTTCCTTTGCTGGCTGAGGAACTCTGGGAGTTGAAGTCCACAAGTCTTAAAGTTGCCAAGGTTAGAGACTCCTGGTCTATTCAACCAAAACATTCCTTGGAATTTTTTTTTACATGTCCTGACTCTCCCTAACTTAACTGAGATGTCAGAGAGAGATTGGGTCTGCTAGTCTTCTAAGGGCAGTCCATTTTTTTAAAAAAAGATTGTTAATAAGGGTAATATACTGAGACTATAGGAGCAGGGGGAAAAAAAGAAGAAACTGCAAGTGAAGAGTAGGGGAGGGCAGGCTTGATGCCAACATATATTATCTGCCCCATCACTACTAGAAAAGTGAAATTTGTTCGTTCTATCAATATATTTTCCAAAGTCAAGTTCGGGACTTAATTTTTATTTATTTAAATGTATGTGATCATTCTATGTTTTTTAATCTTTTCTTTCTAAATATTGTTTTGACTACTCTGAGTTGTTTTAGAATTATTTAGTGCGCCTTAATTTAACAGACAAAATAAGGATCACAAAGCAGCATAATCTGCATGACTGATTTTGACACTTAACAGGTTTTTCATAACGCCACCATCTCTGTTATTCATTTATGAATTAGAATTTGATTAAGTACTGCAGAGTTGTCAATTATAGATAGGTTACATATTCTGAATCAGGAGATTTAGCAAGACCTTTAATTATGAATATAAGGCGACAATATTACTATGAATTTTATTTGTCTTTGGATTTTGTAATAAAGCATTAATCAGGCCAAGTTTTCCTAATGATTGTAGATTTCAGCAAGTCTATATAGAAATGGCTGCTTAAATTAATTAAATCTTATTTATTCAGAGCCCCCCCAAAAAAGGAGAAAGAAGGGGAAATTCCATCCCCAATTCTCCAATTCTCCCCAAAGAGGGAAAAAAATAATCATAACTTGCTCCAGTTTAGAGTACTGCAGGTATGTTTAACTTTAACTCTTGTAATCTTCCATTGAACACAACCTCAAGTCATACTGGCTGGGGATTATGGAAGATCAAATACAACACACCTGATGAGTACCAGATTGGGTAGGACTTTTCCAGAGATATATTCATCACTAGCATTGCTTGCTTTTAAAAGAAAAAATGTGTTATTTTTAATATATATTTTACCACTCACATATTTCCAGTGGTGATCTGGGGAAGAAATGTTATTTGTTTCACCCCCCACCAAAACATGAAAGAATAATATTATTGGAAATAAAATTAGCATACTGTTTTTTAGGGGACTGAATAAAAATAAAAATATCCTGGGGAAAGTGGAGAAACCTTCTTTTGAGGAATTTCAACTCAACTTTAAATTTTAGCTCTTGGCCCAATTATTAACAGCTGCAAATTTTTATGTTCATATGGATGTCATTATTTTCTCCATATAATATATGTGTATATGTGTATACTACACACACAAACACCTTTGAGGACTTTTTTCTTCCTTTTTTTCCTCCTATAATGGCCTTTGCCAACATATCTTTTTTGTGACTGGCTTTGCTCAATAGTGAAAGTGTGAACTGCTCCTTTTTCTGCAGTGTAGTTATCTTGAGGCATGAGGGAGACTTTTTCCAGCTATCCAAGGGAAGGCCTCATGATGGTTTTTCATGTGGGCTGTGTAAAGTCCCACCTGTTCAAACCAGGATATCATTAGCATCTTTGCCACACTAATACTCTTGGTACCTGCCACTTCAGAATAAGGTACTTCCATAGAGTATCACTTCCATAGAGTATCACTAGGAAAATCATTTCCTGCACAGTTCTTATTTTTGTAGTTATAAACACCTCACGACATCATCTTTTCCAAGGCCTTCATTGCAACCTTAATAAGTACTAGTATTTGATATGGTTCTTAACTGCTGGGTACTCTACTCTACTCTACTCTACTCTACTCTACTCTACTCTACTCTACTGTTGAAGGTCCATTCAAAAGGGCAAAAGCTATTCATAACTTCAGTGTGCCAGTTCTAACACCGGTAGCTGTACTTGTTGTCATTAGTTTGTTCTTCTTGGTATTTAATTTTAGTTCCATTGTTTTACTGGGCTCCTTTCATTACCAGAACTTACAACTCATTTGCATAGTCAGCTATAGCATCAGGGTAGTGTCATCAATATCAAAGTAATGTCATCTTCTTCCAATCTTGCCTCCCTCAGTGTAAATATATTCAGCATATAGTCTGAAAAAAAATAATAAGCATATAGCACTATCTCTTCATTGACAATCCAGGGCCAGTCTGTTTTGCCATGTTCCAATATCTTCAAATTAGTAATATAGTTCAAAGGGAATTGAAAAATAAAGTGGGAAACTGAGACACCTGTCTGAAATTTAAAAGCTTATAAAATTCAAAACACTTGTTGGGCCTTATATTTAAATTATCACCAATTTATGATAAATATGTTGCAGAAACTAAACAAGTCAAAATCAGTATGTTAAATAAAACAGGTCAACTGATATGCAATGAGAATACTGATGGATGATGAATATTATATTTACTGCAAACATGTATTCAAATAAAATTGGTTCAAGATGTTTTCATTTGTTGTTATGCCTACATCGATTGCCAAAATATATAGTTCAATTAAAAATTCTTGTTACCAAAATTTTGGTAACAAAAAATTCTTGTAGAAATTTAATGTTTACTTAAATAATAATATTTTTGTACTGGGTAGCAAAGTCATAAAACTCATTAATTGTGGGAAATGATTCACCACAGAATGAAGCGGGGGGGGGGGTTTGCTACCTCTTTTTTGGTTAAAATCACAATGACTGTAACTCTGTATGTGGATTTGTACCATATCGTATGTATGTATGTATGTATGTATGTATGTATGTATGTATGTATTTATTTATTTATTTATTTATTTATTTATTTATTTAGTCAAGCATGTATCAGATAACAGATATAAGTTTAAACATAATTATGAATACATGAAATGGATACGAATAAAAGGGAACATTAGGACAGGGACGGTAGGTACACTAGTGCGCTTATGCACACCCCTTAAAGACCTCTTAAGAATGGGGTGAGGTCAACAGTAAACAGTCTAAGGTTAAAGTTTTGGGGAAGAAACCACAGAGTCAGGTAGTGCATTCCAGGCATTGATCACTCTGTTACTGAAACCGTATTTTCTGCAATCAAGTTTGGAGCAGTTTACCTTAAGTTTGTATCTATTGTGCGCTCTTGTATTGTTGTGGTTGAAGCTGAAGCATTCATTGGCTGATAGGACATTGTAGCAAATGATTTTATGTACTACACTTAGATCGGACCGAAGACGGTGAAGTTCTAAGTTGTCTAAGCCCAAAATTTCAAGTCTGGTGGCATAAGATATTCTGTTGCGTGCAGAGGAGTGGAGGACTCTTCTTGTGAAACATGTAGAGCTTTAGAACAGTGACAACAATTAACCAGTAGAGTGCTTGTCTCCAGAAGTTGTAGGTGCTCCATTACTGGAGGATTTTAAGAAGAGATTGAACAGCCGTTTGTGTGAAATAGTATAGGGTCTCATGCTTGAATAGAGGATTGGGCTAGAAGACCTCCAAGGTTCCTTCCCACTCTGTTTTCTGTTACTCTAAATATATCTTGCCTGACTGATAATAAGAACAGAGTTTTTTTCAGCTTAGCTAGAAATTCCTAAATTCTTCTTCTAAATTCATTATTCTAACTGAAGATTTTTATGACATTGCTTCTGCTAGAAACTGGTTATTTATAAGAGTTTTAAAAATCAAAATTGATATATTTTTGTATGGCATCTAATCGTGTAACTATTAACTATTTTTACTCAATTTCAAATAGTTTGCATTTTCTTTTTTCTTTTCTTTTCTTGGTTACACTTTCAAATATCTAAAATAAAACAAAAACAAAACAAAAACAAATATATTACCACTCAGGTGGACTTTATACCTCGGGTCAATAATGGTTCACACATCTGAATTTGACCTAGGGGAATCCTAGAGTTTTCATTCCAATTACGTTTTACTTTTTAGTAGTAAATCATATAACTGAATGCTTTTATATCTTGGAAATAAATCTGGAGGAAAAATTTATTTGATTTATTCATGTTTTTATTTTATAAGGCCTAGACAATCAACAGGTTTTAAGAAGCCAGGGACTCTCATTTTGAAGCTCCAAGATCAACTGGGGGGCGAAGGGGAAGAGGCTATCAACTTCTGCTTTACTATCTATCTTTTCTTCTTTTTTTCTCCCTTGAGAGTAATATTTTTAGTGTGACTAGCACACATGTTTAGAAAAGCTCTGCCTATTTCCTTTTCCCTCTGCTGTGTACACATATAGTAATCTTCGACGTACGACCACAATTGTGCCAAAATTTACGTTCCTAAGTGAGTCAATTTTGCCCCAGTTCACTTAACAAATGTCTCACTCAGGAACAGAAATTAAGACCTTTCTTGCAGTGGTGGATTCCTCCCGGTTTGGCCCGCTTCGGCCGATCCGGTAGCAGTGATGATATGACGTCACCGAACTGGTTCTCATTGTTCGGGAGCTGGGCCCTCCCGCCCCCCCTGCATTATTCTTACCTTTTATTTGGCCCCGCCCCCAACCTATTCTCTGCATCCCGATTCCCCGCTGATCGGCTAGAAGGAAAGAAACTGTTTAAACTCTTGCTGTGGGGCTTCAAAGGGCCGCCCTACAGCTGATCACTGTTAAAAGGCAGTGTGGTGGTAGACCAGTATGCTCCAAAAACAAATGGGTAGACCGGTGCCTACAAAATGAGTAGACTGGTACAGCTCTGCATGCAGTTAAAAGTCTGGTAG